ACATTTATTTGGCAACCGTTCAAAGTGTTTCTTGCGCCAGAAAATTAATTAATTGCATATAAAAGTGGATATTTATAAATTGTTTGTAATACATGCACATAATTACTATTTTTATAATAAACATTGATTATTATAAACTTTATAACATGATCTTATTTTTAGTTTTTTTTATTGAGTCATTAGTGCTCGCTACGGCAGAAATCAGAACTTTCCGCCTCTGTATTTCATATTTCACGCAGTCCCGATTACAGTTAATGTTGATCGCACTGAAAAAAATAATTTTGTGACAATTTCAACTGACAATAAAATAAAACACTATAAATTAGATAATAAAATTGAAAAAAATTTGACATAAAAAGGAGAGCGTAATTACGTGTTTTTTTTTGGTACAATAATTGCTCTTTGTTTGCTCACTTGTTCCGTCGAACTGCCTGAATCCATTTTTGCTTTTGATCAAATAGATATGAGACAGCTGGGAAGCTATAAAATGTTGTTCCGGGAGGGTTTTATTGAATATTATTCCACTCATTGTATCCAACAATCACGCAAATGCGCCCTTCTTTTCGTGTTAACGTTTTTGCGTCAATTTTTTTATCAATTGAAATTGTCACAACGCGCAACGCGACTCTCAGTTCAGGTTCTTTTTCACATAATTTTTACTACCAGAAACACATTTACATCACACAAACTTCGTAAGTGGGAAGTTTATAGTTTCAATAACTGCACTAGTAAAAACCAAAATACTTAACGGTAACCAGAACAGCGTGAAATGAAGTAGCCGGGCAGTTCTGATTTCTGCCGCACCTTGCGCTGCTGTCGGAATTTTAAAACGTCGTTTGAAATGCACCAAGCCTATAGGCACGTTTTTAATAATAATTATCATTCACATTTAACTATTTTGTAATAGACACCATTACCATCCTATTTAATGCATATAATATGCGTGTAAATTGATATCTATTACTACTACAAAAAAGAGTACCCTCTAAACTATTTTAATAACGCTTATGTACCATTTTTAAGTGATGAGTTCCAGACTAGTAAACAATTTAATGCGAAGCCAATAAACGTTAAACTTTTATAGTGTTGTTTGTTTTTAAGCATCGTATGAAGTCTTACATCCTGTTATAATTAACTTGCATATATAAAATTTATTAAATTAAGTGATAGATTATGTAAATGTAAATAATATATTTATGCTATTTATGGGCAGCATTATGAACATTTAAATAACATTAAATATTATTTTTTAGACGAGTAATTCAAATCGAAGTGATGTCTCCATTTATTTTGAAAAATATGCTGAATACACAAAAAAATATTTATTAATTTTTAGTAAATATCTATTGGATTAAAATAAAAGATTACAAAAACAAGTACCATACAATCGAAAAAAAAGGCGTCAAAGACGGCTGTGACAATCGATAGTAATTTTGGTTTGGTTTGGTTTGGGTACTAGCCCTATACATCATATTCACCTGGCCTATATTCTTATTTATTTTTAGTGGATTTTATGCAATTCTTTTCTGTTGCATCTCAGTCTTTAAAAAAAATGTAATGGAGCGTACTTCCCATTGGCCTTAAAAAGGTTGTAATTATTTTTTTATTGAGTAAACATTATTTTAAATGGTGTACTTTGAAATTCGAGAAAACATTTTTTTGATATTTCTTTATTTATTAAAAATTATTTTTTATTAATCTTAAAAAATCAAAATTTGCTCTTACAATGATAGATAGATAGGTAGATAATTTATTTGTTTCGAATAAACAAAAGTGACAAAAGCCAGCAGGCATGGAACATTGTGAAAATAAAATAAACAAAAACTTAACACTTAATATAAAATACAAGACCAACGAGAATAATACTTGACAACAAAAAATATAAAATACACACACCGGAAAAATCTAGGGATATCATTTTATTAAAGTTAAAAATAAATGTTTTGAATAAACAACCACATATTTGTAGGCCAATTTTTTCTACTTCGATTGAAATGAAGTAGTCACACTAGTTATTTCTAAATTTGGGATATTTGCAGAAGTGTTTGTGCATTTTTTGTCAAATGTATAAAAAGCACCTAGCATCAATTGTTCGAATTTAACCTGTACTGGCTATGTTTTTATGATAACTGGCCAGAATTCATTCAAATAACTCAGTTTAGTATTAAAAAGAGACGAAATGCTAAGGGCCATGGGTATGCTCGAAGCTGGAATACGCCAAATCGACGTAACTAGAGCATTAAATACAACGCAAAGTGTAATATCGCGATTAAGTGCACACTACCGTGAAAGTGGTGATGTTGCTGAAAGGCACACAGGGCGACATCGCATTACTACCCCTCAGCAAGATCATTTTTTACAATTAAATGCTCGACGCCGACCGACTCTTACAGCACCAGAGCTTAGTTTAATTCTCCAGGAAACACATAATGTAACCGTTAGTCCTGACACTGTTCGCAATAGATTAAGAGAGGTCAACTTAAGACGCAGACGCCCCTGGAGAGCTCAACCCTTAACAAGAGGAAATCGAGAGGTAAGATATTTGTGGGCTCAAGATCATGTTCAGTGGTCGAATGAACAATGGGCCAATGTTCTCTTCACGGATGAGTCACGCTTTGGAATTCATCCGGATTCGAGAAGGCTTAGGGTATGGAGAGAACCGGGAAATCTTATTCGGTTGGATCATGTTCAGGAAGTGCACCCTTATCAAGGTGGAACAGTTATGGTCTGGGGAGGAGTCCAGTTAGGCCGAAAAACCGATCTCGTTTTTCTTGAAAGGTTTCTAACAGGAATCACATATCGTGGTTTAATTGTTGAGCCTGCCTTGTTACCATATGCCAATGATTTTGGGAAAACCTTCATTCTCATGCATGACAATGCGCGGCCTCATACAGCCAGAGTGGTAAGTGAGTTTATCAATGCTCATCAATTAAACATCTTACCCTGGTCGGCACAATCTCCTGACCTCAACCCCATCGAGCACGTATGGGACGCGGTCCAAAGAAGAATATTGAGAATGGGTATGCCTCGTGAAACTCGTAGGGATCTGGTTCGGGCCGTGAATGCAGCGTGGCAGGCTGTACTTCAAGAAGAGATCGACAACCTGATCAGGAGTATGGAGAGACAATGTAGGGCTGTAATGAACAGTAGAGGAGGCTATACCCTTTATTAAGTAAAACTGGTTTTATCTTTTTTTATAATTCACAGTTTAGAATTAAAAAAAATGTGTATTTTTTTGAGTTCAATAAAAATCAAGGTAAATTTGAAAAAATCGGCAAATTTCGCATTTTTATTTCCAATACGTCCTGAAAACTATTTGTTTATTTTAATTTTATTATATCAGAAATGCAAATAATAAAATTACTGACGATGGCTGGATAAAATTGTAATATCCCTAGACTTTTCCGGTGTGTGTATATGATTGAAAAATCATTATACAGTTCAAAATAAATAATATTTCTAATTACTCAATAGAGTAGCATCAGCAATTATCTCAAGAGTCCATACTAGATTTACTACAAAAACAAAAACATGCTCACTAACTTAAATATGAGATATGCGTATCCGAAAAAAAATCCTTCAAACTAATTTTTAACACAAACTCAAAATTTTTATGCTTCAAACTATAATATGCTTTTTAAAATTTTTAGGTAAATAAACCATAGTACACTGTTTATCTTTCCATGAGACCATGACCTGCAACTTTTCGGGAAAAATATTAAATATTTTTACAACTGAAGACTCGTTACCGAAGTATTATTGCATTTGTTAGGTACCTATTAGGTATAATATTATATATGCATGTATATATTTATTTCTAGTGATACTCGTGATCACTAACAAAGCCAGCAAAGAGATCTCTATTATTAATCACAAACATATTATGCATCGTAAACATAATGCATGTAAGTGTAGTATATAAATATACCCTTCTCTACAAAAACACTCCTACAACTTTCAAAACAGCTCATCCCAAGTATATTTCGAATACATATTTTTTGTAGCAGAAAAATTCTATTCACTCGTATATCAATACTATTTCCCCAAATGACCAAGCCATATCTCATTCTAGATTGGACAAAGGCATAATAAGCTGTCAATGCAGCTTCTTCACCTACATTCTCCGAGACAATCCTCAAAGCAAAGCTATATCTCAATACCCCCTCTGCAACACTCTCAACGTGCACTTTCTAATCCAATCTACTGTCAATGACACCAGCTGAAAAATATTCTTAGATGTAATAATTTCATAATTTTTATATTGAACTGCAAGCGCATTCTCTACTATATTACCAAAAGCTACACACTGCGTTTTAGATGTACCTATTCATCCATAAACCCATTGACGAAAAGTATTCTACAAAAATATCACAAGTTCTTTTAATTTTAACGCTCATTAATTCTGCATTATCTGCACCAAAGATCAGTGTAGCATCATCTGCAAAAAGAGTTGTATGTTCTCTTGTTATATTAGGTATCTCGTTCGTATAAATTACATACAATAATAGCCCCAAGATTGAACCCTGATGGACACCTTTTATTACTTTGATTTTATTCGACACTATATAACTCTATCCTGACTATCATTCTCAAAAGCTTCCTGGGTTCTATTATCTAAATAAGCTTTTATTAGCTCCAATGCCATACTCAAGGTTTAGGGAGGCTAATCTGTCCTAAAAACAGTTAAAAAAAATATTCAAATTGATCGAGCAATTATCAAATGATGCGCTTATTGAGTTAGCTATTGGATTTATTAGTTAAATCGGTTAAAACATTGTAGATGGATATCCCTTGTTCTATTTGTCTTTCTTTAACAAACGTTATTTTGTTATGATATTACAATGTTTGTTTTGAAACGTTTTCGGATCTTGCGAAAAAAAAACGGGTAAAATGAAAATAGAAAATGTCTCTGTAATATTTAGCATTGATGTTCTAAAATTAAAACATTGCTGCAAATTTGATACGTTTCCCACCTCTCATTGTTCAGTTTGCCAGTTAACGTCGATCGGCGCTAACCCATCCACGATCTCTCGCCAAACGCGAGGTGAAATTTTCGTGAAAATTAAGCCTCGTACCTGCTAAATGCGGCATCGGTATCGACGCAAAGTCCCAAAATAAAAAAAACAAATACAGATTTCCGTGCTCGGTGATTTAGCAAATTTTGCCGTGACATGCCAAATTTTCGTAGAGCTTATTTGTTGTGAACGGATGTTAGTGAGAACTTTTTTTTTTGTTATTTTGTTGCTATAGTATGTTATGAAACGGTGAGTTTGTATTAATATAAAAGATAGCTCGGTTACTTTTGAGCTCTTAACTATGTCTTAACTACTTTATGTCCACTTCACGTCTCTAAACACTAATAGCAAATACCATTGGTAAATTAAGTTTTGCCCCAAGCGGAACTAGAACTAACCTCGTGCAAGAAAAAATGCCAATGGTGCGCGACAACTGAACTAGGGCAACACGAGCGTTAATACAACGTGCGGCACTAACTGCGCTGCCGAAGTCCAAACAGTATCGAACTGGTTCTTCAATTCTTCAAGTATTTAAAAAATTGCCCCAAATCAACTAATTTTTAACAATTGCACTAGCGGCGCACCAGTGCTGCACTGCTTTGCCAATATGGTGTTTGCTATGAAAAGATACCGTATGATAAAAAAACGATAATAATTAAAACGAACTCATAGAGTAAGATCCAAGAGTGATCAGACGTAACTTATATTCACAAGGATGAAACCTTAGGCACTCAGTAGTGCTCTCATGTGCTTTGGATACCGGCGTGTTTTAGGGTTCCCCTGTGACACCTTGGCAGATACCAGGTGAGAAAGGTAACTAAAAGAAATAAATAAACTTTACTTATTTTTACATATCTGATTTTTACAAATGTTATTAAGACAGCTATTATAAAGTTATATTTAATCAGTCAGACAGATTGTAATGACCAAACATCCTCTAAACACAAATATTATTCAGCCGCGACTATGAGCACGGGAGAAGCGTTTCCGAGTAAAGTATTTAAATATTTTAAAAATAGTTACTGCTTTCGATTTAATATTCTCTTTTTGTGAAAATAAGTTATGTCTAATCGCCCTGGGACCTTAGACTATCAATTTGTAGACGTTATTTACTAAAAATTGACACAAAATTTAAAGTTAAAAAAAATTGAAGGAAGATTAAAAATGATAGATCATTTCCAGGCACACAAAATATGAAAATGAATTACGACCTTCTTAAGGCCAACTGGCAGTAAGCGCCATAGAAAATGAAGTAATGCCGTCTAGGGTTTGACCTTGCCAAAATTATCATCGTCATTTCCCAGCCGTCTTTGATACCGTTTTTATTTTGATCGTCTGGTACTTACATGTGAAGATATAAACACAATACTTACTTACTGCCATTACTCGCTGACGAGTATTTGACACGCATCAGAAGATCAAGGTTAAGCAAGGCGTTTTTTTTTCATAACCTTTTCTGTGACTGAAAAGTCCGATACGTGGTGTTATCTCTCTTCCGCACTCCAGACATTCAAAACTCTCATTACTTTGTTGAGTTAACAATTCTTCTCCATTGAGTTCTTTCGTGCGCAGCTTCCTCACACTGATTCTGCTTGCTTATGACCTTCAAGGTTTCATGAAAAATATCCTTGTACCTTTTGAGTTGTCCATCCAGTTTCCTCTTACCGTCTATAAGCTCAAGAAGTCACCGCCTTTACGGCACCCGCAACGGCTTCCGCAACCAGTCTTGCACCCGCAAAATATATTACTTAGAACTGGATCCGTGCTTGTGACAAAGGTGAGGAAGCCAACAGGCAAAGACAGCTCTGGAATTTCAATCGACGATAATTTTGACGAGGTCAAGCCCTAGACGTACCCTTCTTAATTTTTTAAAAGCTGGTTGTAATTTATTTTTATATTGAGTAAAAATGATTTTTAAATGGTATAGTTTAAAATTCGAGACAAATATTTTTTTTGGAAATGGATTTGTGTGGAAACGTTCTATTCTTTTAATCTTTCTATATCACAAGTATACACGGTTTTGGACCTGACGAACTAAAAGCAATTTCTAAGATAATTTTTGGAGCTGAATCCAAATCAGGACTCCATTTTTTAAGATTGGTTCTAGTTTTCGAAATATTCAATAAATTCATAATTTTAGTATTTTTGACCGTTAACGGTCAGTTTTATTGAATTAAACAATATAATTCAGAAATGAACAGAGGTTGAACTGATGCTTGGGATCTGTTTCACGGATTAGGGTCCAACCGTAATCGCTCATCATTCCTTCGTCCCAAAATCCTTGGTATCGCCTTTCGATTTTCGTTATATCTTGGTGTAGCCGCTCTCCTTGCTCGTCGCTCGTGTCGTCCAAGTTGTGTGGAAAAAAATCAAGATGTGAATGCAGAAAATGTATCTTGAGAGACATTCGAGCTCCAATTTTGTGGTAATTTTGCAACAAATTGTCGATTACTTGCTTGTAATCCGGTGACTTATGATTACCGAGAAAGTTGTGAACAACACTTTGAAACGATGCCCATGCTGCTGCCTCATCAAGCGGTTAACATTTTGTTAACGTTGCGTCAGCCATTAGTTTTCGAATATCAGGTCCGACAAATATTCCTTCTTTGATTTTTGCGTATGACAGTTTTGGAAACAACTTGGTTAAGTACTGGAAAGCCGGTCCTTCGCGATTGAGACTTTGAATCGACTTTGCAACGTTTTCTCTATATTTTCACACGTTCCGCAGCACAATCACAATACAAATCCAAATGATGTTTAATGCAACGTCGTCAACTGACCGTGTGTCAACTACCCGGGCCGTTATAAGAGCGCAGTGCTACTGCCATGCGCGAACTCGACAACTAGAGCCAATCTTAGCTTTGTTCGGGTTCTTGTTATTACCGATTCTGAACCGTCCTAGAACTGTGATGCGTATGCGCAGAAGGAAATATGAAGACATTATTTCATTTGCGCATGCGCTGCAGAGTTCTAGGACGGTTCAGAATCGGTAATAACAAGAACCCGAACAAAGCTCTTGACAAACGGATTGAAAATCTGAGTTCAGGGCATCAAAATAACGTTAAGAATCGTTCTCATCTGCTCGGGTCCAAAAGTTGACCCGAATTTGTAAACTTGTGAATTATTAGTGTTAATTTTTGACAATTTTTATGTTAATTTTTAATAAATGACATCTAGAGATTGACCTCGCTAAAATTATAATCCATTGTCATTCCCCAGATCATACTCTATTGTTCAAATATTCACACTGTTATTCAAAAACTGCAAACAATTTCTGTAGAATATCAAAGTTTATAGGAGAAACATATATTGAGTAAAATTAACTGCGTGAATAGATTTTTACATTGTCACCATAAATTAAAAAAAACTAGTTTAGATTGAAAAGTGGTATATTCTTTGTATAATAGAAAGTGGTCAAAAGAGCAAAGGAAGATAGCAAAATAAAATAAATAATAACGAATAAAATAACGAATGAAATTTCTATTGACTAAGACAATTTTAAAATTAATGCTAATACTATTATTTCTGCGTAACTAAAAAAAATAACAATATGTACAGTACGTCTGCCCGTTCTGTAGCTACGGGGTATCCGTGAGAGGGGAAACGATATTCTCTCGATGTGTTTCGTAAAAAATTAGACGACGCACCCCGTCAATAAAAATTCCACAATTTTGCAAGTGGCCAATAAGATGAATGGGCGGAGCGATATGCGGTGACGTACTCGTCAAGTCGACGTATAAAATATATTGCTGTTTATTTAAATATTTTTTGTCCGCATTCCTTTCATAGACACAGATCCAGCAGACGTACTGTATAAATATTTATTTTCCAATCACTTGAAAAATATTTTAAAAACTATTACTACTTGTTGAGTTACCTTTATACTGTTAAATATTTGTTTAATGTAAACTGCTAAGTGCATAAGAAAAAAAATCTAATATTAGGTTTTATAATTGTTAAAAATATTATTTCTGGCATTTATTTCAATCTCCATTTTATCGTTAAGAATATTTTAATACCAAAAAATACTCATTATTTAATTTTGTTATACTTCAAATTTTTGAAAATACGAATAAATAAATGTTCTGCCTGTACTGTACAAAAATGATTCCGATACGATTTTAAAAATAAATTTAAATCAAGTATAAAATTTAAAATCTATACATATAAATAAAAAGTGAATAAAATATAAATAAATAATACCAAACTCTCAATAAATCTATTTTAGAACTAAGATATTTATTTTCTATTTAGCAAATTGCCCTATTTTTGAATAATTAACCTAATTTATTATGAAGTTTATTTTGTTGAAAGATATTATTTATATATTTGATTTGTTTTAACTTCACATTTGTAGTGAAGCCATGGCCTACTTAGAAAAACTATCATCCAGACACTGGGTGGCCAAGGACTGAGCTATAGGTGAAAAAAACACTGTATTTTTATGAAATATGTATAAAAAACTGTTTTAATCATCTGCTGATGATGCTAACATGGTTAGCAAGCGCGCGTCCAGTGTTTAAAAGTAAAGTGTTTTGGTGTATTGTAGTGAGTTAGTGTTTTATTTTGCTGTTGGCAACCCCACAGGTAACGCCAAAGGTTCCAACCAAAGTTTGACCCGGATTTTCTTTTCGGTTAAGTTGGTAGAAACCTAATTTTATTTTTTAAAACTAAAAATAAACTTTATAGAAACTAATTAGATCAAAACATTTTCTTTATTCTAGTAATTCCTTACTAAGGTTTTAGACAAGATTTTCCTTAAAATAAAGTGGAAAATGTTTATTAAAAAACTTAAATTTATTTTTATGTTCAGATAAGAACACAGTATACCGGGTGCGTCTCAAATGTGCTTCACCCTTATAACTTTCTTATTTTTTCAGATTAAAAACGAGATTTGGTATGTTAGTATATGACATAAATTAGAATTGATTGACGTATTCAATTGTTTTTGGTCACTTCCTGTTTCACCAGAAATTACTACAACTTTCCATTTTTAAATGGCGCCCTCGGTATATTTTTACTTTATTCGACATGGACATATGATGAATGTGAATGACATATCATATGTCAACTTTTGACATTTTTACTTAAAAAAAAATATTTTAAATTTCAATCTAGAGAGCCATGAATGTTCAAGGAGCCTTATGGTACGTATACATTGGCGCGCTGCGCCACGAACGCGCGGCGCGCGCGCACCGGTTCGCCTGTATTGGTACGTGTTTTCAGGTTGCGCGCGCTCTGCACGCAAA